CTGTAGTTCCCCGGATCCTCCTTCCGGCCCTTCTTGAATAAAGCATAAAGACTCCCAATCCTAACTCACCATGCATCGTGGGGACCTTACAGGATATGCAATCAACTTTATTGCAGAGACTACTTAATAGACTATTGATTGCTGCAAAGCAAATAAATAAATAGATGAATTGGAATAAAAAGAACCTCTCTAATCTAATGCATAGATTAAGATGCCTTTACCTTCTCTTAGTAAGAATAATTGTTCATTCTTAAACAATTATTTTATTAGATGCTAGAGAAATGCATTTTTAAATGTAAAGATAATTTAATTATCAAATTGAGATTGACAGACATTGGTTTTTTGGGTTTTTTTTTTTACATATCACAGAATTTAATAACATCTCAGTTAAGGAACAGGCTAGGATGCTCGTCTATCTTGACTACAGAATATCCTGTACATTCAAGAAAGTTTTGATTCAATGAAACTGCAGTTCCAGCCATAGGTCATTCATGGGAAAACAGTCTTTGGCTGGTTAACAGCACAAACACTTCTGTGAAGTTCCTCTAGGACAGTGTATACCTTTTCAGAGTGGATGCAACAGTAACCATAGCGTACTGTGTCAGGCAGAAAAATGGATATACTCATAAATAAAACTGATGGGACAGTAGTTATAGTAAACTACATTCCAGCTTGCTTTTAGGAATACAGTGTCCTTGAGAAAATATATATGTTCTTAAAGATCAGATGCAGCCAGGCAAAGGATGTGACCATTAAAAAAAACTAAAAGGAAACAACCTGTGAATAGTGGGAATTACTATCAGTCTTTATAACTATTAGCTATCAGACAGAAATGAAACTTCTTTTTTTTAAATAAAAGTTGAGAATAAAATTTTTAAAACTACTTAAGAAAAAGACTACCTGGATTTTCTAATGAAGAAAGAAACTGGCAGTTTAGTATATTTATTACATTATTCATCTGCTTTAGTCTTACTGTATTTTGATAGACCAAATATATATCCTATGTATACACACAATGTTACAATGTTTCAAAATTACATACTGTAATATCTATAAAGCAAAGGCAGCAAGGAGACGTAAATGAATCACATAAATCCTCAATTTGGGACTGTACCTTTATAGCCATATGTAAATGAACTCCTACTACATTCTGGGAACCACCACAGAGAACCATTTCATAGAATCATAGAATAGTTTGGGTGGGAAGGGACCTTTAAAGGTCACCTAGTCCAACCCCGTCCAACCTGACTTTGAATGTTTTCAGGGATGGGACATCCACCACCTCCCTGGGCAACCTGTTCCAGTGTTTCACCACCCTCAGCGTAAAAAATGTCTTCCTCATATCTAATATGCCACATTTCAAATGGCATGGGCTAATGAACATAGACACAGAAGTCTTTTGGAGTTGAATTTGTAGTGGGGTACTGAAAAATAAAACACATTGTTATTTGTTCTGGATCAGTTTTAGTTAAGAATTTTTCTGGCTGATTTTAGGGCAATTAAAATAAATAGTTGAGACATAATTCTAGGTACGCAGACATTCTGGTTTCTATTTTTCTTCCCAAGGAAGCTGTAAATGAACAAACGCAGGCTGTAGTAGGGCACTCAGAATCTACTGGTTCTATAGTATCAGGGCAGAAGAGTTTTTCAGTTTGGAGAATACATGCTTGCTCACTCTACTGCAAGAACCAAGTTTGTTCTGAAAGTAGTGGATTACCATGAATTTAAGTTGAAAAACTTCCTATTTGCTGTATATCTTGTAAGAATCAGTAGTACTCAGGCTAACAAAAAGAAAGTATATGATCTGTTCTCCAAAGTGAAGAAAGAAACAGGAGGAAAGATTTATTTACCATTTCTTGTTCTGTTGATGACATATGCATCATTCAGTTGAAATATGAGTTTCGTTCACAAAAATGAGATTCTTGCATGGAGAAATCTTCCATATAAGTTTCTGATTTAAGCCAAGACGTTTCACTCTAGTCAAGACTATCTAAGACTATGACATTTTGAAATTCCCTTTTTCAAATCTCAAGTGCCATTAGAAGAAACTATTCCTCCAGATACAAAAATACAGTAGGAGTTGGGCTTGAATGCTGAGAACATGATGTACATCCAAGAAGTTGATTATTAGATCTTAATCCGAAAGTGGCACAGAGTTTGCTAGATCAATCCTTAGGTTGATCCTCGCTTCCAAGGCAGCTTTGCAAACTGAAAATTTCTTTCACATTTGAAATAGGCAATTTTAAATTAATTTCATTCCTTCAATAAACAAGTACTATGTAAAATGTATTCACATGATATGAATGTCGCATAGTAAAAAAAAAAAAACCACCCAAACATTTTTCTTCGATGCATCTGTGCAACCTTATTATATCTGACTTGTAATAATAATTACAAGTGTTGACAAACACTAAGATCACAGTGCAATATATAATTGAGTCATTTTTACCGCATGTGTTGATTGTGGAACTCAGTGATGCAGCTCCAGTGGAAAGGCCACCTTTCGATACTGCTGAAGCTACAGATGGTGTAGAAGATGCTGGAGTTGAAGCAGCTGCAGTAGAGGAGACGGATGACGACGTTAATCGCTCTCCAGACTCCATATCTGTAAGAGAGAAGATAAATGTCTGTGTTCTATGGCAGGAAATGAAATCACAAGGGGACTACAGGAGCGTCTGTGCTGACCATGTCTCAGGATCTGCACTCAATTCTTGAGTGGTTCCTACGACACCTTCACATGAGAGGTACATCACATGAACAGCACTCAGTCATCGGGGAACCAAGAACAACTGCAGCAGTAAGGAAATTAGATAATGCTCTGAGAGCTACATCACATTTCAACTTGAATGGAAACAGCCTCACCTGGGACCACCACCCACACCCTCTGCTCAGGAGCTCCATTTCGGCTCAGGCTGGCACCTTCAGCCCTTGCCTGAGTCAAGTCATAGCTCTGCATAGCCTGGTCTGTGCCCACGCCTCCTGGTTAGATCCCATGTCTCGTGTTGTAGCTTCCCTCAAGGCCTGCATCAGCTCCTATCTTCTGCTACTCCTGATCAGACTACCAGATGGACCCTGGTCCTGACAGATTCCTTCATTTTGTCTGGACCCTGTAACCAGCACAGTGTTCAGATTTTGTGGGACTGTGCCGGGGTCAGGAAAAGCACTGCCTGCATCATCCTCAACTGCCAGCCTGTCCTTGCAGAGCAGCCCTGCTCTTGCTGCTCCCAACAGACCCCAGCTTTAAAGAACCTGTAATGCATCCCCAAAAACTCCGTATCTAGTCTCTCAATTTAGG